TGCACGTCCACAAAATGCACTGGTCTGACCCCTTCAAACCGTCCACTTGACCCTTCAAAACGGTTCAGGCCACCCCACAACCCCAACACCGGCATCACCAAAATGGCCACACAATCGAAACCATTTTACACATTTTTTAGGACGGGGCTGCGCCTCCCGCGTGCAACAAAACGCCATAGCAGTGGCTGGGCGTTTAAAGCATTGTGTAGTACTTGGAACACAAAGACATGTTGCAATGGGGCAAAGCACGCAGCCCCAAATCTAAAACATTGAATATGTATCCAAACTTCAAAAGCAACATGTCCAGCCCTTTGACTTCACTCAACCACTACAAAGGCGCAAGACTAAACCCAATAGAGTGATCAGGAACACGTTCCAAACGGTGCCCACACAAGATTAGGCAGCCTCTCTCAAGAGAACCTCAACAACTGGCCCCCTTTCAAGTTAATCAAATTCCATACTATTATAAGTATACAAAATGCGCCCTTGCACCTGCGCAAACCCCTCACAGCACATTGCCACTCCTCCCTTGTGTCCCACACCAGCAAGAGGAGGTGTGCATGGCTCATGGGCTGAGAAAACGCATTGGCAGCTGCACAAAACATATAAAAGAAAGTGGTGTTACACACAACCACTTTAGAAACAAAACAACCCTTTCTAAGGGTCTGACAAAAGTAGTCAGCCCTCCCCATTCAGAATGCAATGGACGGGCTGTCGGTCCTTTCACAGGACCATGCACAATCCGGTGCACTTGTCTTGCCAAAACTACCATCACCCTCTCACGTTTCCCTTTTCTCCACTAGGCCAACTCTCATCAACTTTTCCCTCAATAACTAAACACTTTGTCCCAACTCGGTGTGGCTTGCACAGCCAACCATGGGTGAAGTGTAAAACACACAGTCAGCACACAGGATGAGGGGAGCCAACCTACTTCTGACTCTCACTCCCTCACCCTAATCGTGTGCTGAGCGTGTCATGGCCATCCTGGCTCATGACTTTTAGTGCATGCAGGATTTTTAGTGAGAGAGCTAAAAATAGCCTTGCATAGCACAAGGACTGACACCGTGCCTGGTCTCTGAAATCCCACAGAGCCAGCACACCTGCCATGTCAGACCTGTGTGTGTAAGTGCCTTTCAAGACTTCCGCTTGAACGTAACCTTACACATCACATGAAACCCCATTTTTCATGTAGATTACTGGACTAGTTGTCTCTCCTCGTCAGGTCAGACAGCCCAGATGGTCTTTCTCAGACCAGGAAATAGTTGATCAGACTATCCCAATCTACCCACACAGCCTGTGCCCTTGAGGCCCAGGACCTCCCAGAATCGTCTTTGAATCCAGTCAGCCTGGGGAGCTGACTGGTGACACGGATCTGTTGAGCACACAGGGTGGCATCTCACATCCAGCCCTTGTCTCCCTAACCTTACACCGCCCTCGTTCTCACTCCTAAGGTTTGCGGCTGTCCGCTCATAACCCATTTTTGGAGTGTTTTCTCTTTGTTTTCTTTTTCTTTTTGTATCAGCAATGGTGGCATACTCGGGCCATCCCATGCAGCGTGCACAGCGCATACGGTATATACCCATCGTACGCCAATTACATAAGTGATCCACCCAGTGAAAACGGTGGCCATTATGTGGCGTCACGAACAGCGGGATAAGCACTTCACGTTGTATACAATCTTTATCCTGGAGGATGTTCCACTTTCTGAATTCATATGCTTCCATGCTTGCAAATGTATACATGTACAAGTGTGGAATCGTGACTTACACAAGGCGTTTATGTACCACGATGCAATTCAATACATTGATTTCTCTACGGAGCCAGGTTGCCTCACTACCTTGGACGCCAGCTCACTACATGAGGCACGAAGGGCGGAGGCATTGGCAGCTGCGCATGCGGTGCTTCTGTGAAATGACACTGACACAATAATTATGGACCGAGTACGTTGTGGTATTCCCAAGTACATGTGCAGGTATTAATGCAAGCACAGAGTGCTATGCCGCAACTCCGCGGCCATCCGTCCGAAGCCGCAGCAAGAATGTCAACAACCACATAACAGCACTCAAACTTGCCCCCTTAAACATCTGTAGTCTTAGTAATCATTCCATCAAGTAAAATGCCCATCATGGAATTCCATGCCGTATGCCCGGGCTTCATACCGATGGCTGCGTCGCCAGCAACGCCAAACCAAACACATGAAATCACACAAAAAGTATGTGGGCGTCCATAACAGCACGCACAATGGCACATTTTATGTAAATGAAATTAACTATCTTGCTGATATGTTTCCACCAAGGCCGACGTTGGGTGGGCTGCGCCAAGGATTGAAATCGGTAGCAGTTGTATTCAAACGGGTTTCTGGCCCCTCTAATAACTTGAGTCAGTCAAAGTACGTAGTTTCCAAGGTGCCGTCGGTTTGGCGCCCTTGGAATTGGCGGGCTTGGCGGGGCGGAGCGGGGGCGGCTATTTAGGCTCCCCCCTCGATCCCCCTCTTATCTTGTTGCGCACCCAGCCCTCCCGCCCTAGAAGGCAGTTTTCGGTTGAGTGGTGGGAGAGGGATGGTGTGGAAGGAAATACGAGATTAGGGGGCTGACTCAGGGCTAGGTCACGGAAAGAAAGTGAAGTGAAGTACATGCGAAGCAAAAGGGCAAACTGCGAAGCAAAAGGGCAAACTGTTAAGTATGGGGGGACCTCGGGTATTTACAGTGACAGACGCCTTTGTTGTAATGTCTTGTCGTGTGGGAAACATGACCGGGAGGCTTCAGGAGACCGGCCAGATGGAAGCACGCTGGACCGAGCGGCGGCCACAAGTACAAACATGTTAGGCAATGCCAGCTCGCCCCTCCAAGTAACTTCCTGCACAAAGTCCAAATCATAAAGGACGACCACGACTGAGAACGAAATGTTGTCCTCTGCCACTCAGAGTGACCGATGCCAGCAAGATCGATTGGTTGGCCCTCCCCGTCGCCCTTCACGTGGTTGGCTCTAGCTGCTCTTTGGGCGGCATGGTGAGCTAGAGCGGCTGTCAATCAACGGCGCCAATCTGGCCTGCACTGCAGGTCATTTTTCTACACAGTTGCATGCACTTGCGCACTCATTGTGGAAACCGCACAGGTGCGCCAGCAGCTCTGTCATTACGAGCCGAACACAGCGTATACACACGTATAAGTACATATTTATTTATGTGCATTTATGCATAAAGTGTTTTTTTTATGTTTTTGTGCCTAAAGCGTAAACTGCATAATTGCAAGCCCTGAGTATATACAAACAGTGCATAAAAAACCAAAAATCCGGGGATCGCCAACCGGATGCGCTGGAGTGGGCAGAGGACGGCCGTTTGTTCGACGATATTGTCGTCCTTGCCTTGGGCTAGGTGGATGCTGTGCTCCAGGGGGCACGGACTGGTGATTATTTGCTATTTCATTATGTGTCCTGTGTGCGACGGCGCGCCGTAATAATGCGTAATATAGCCCAAAAATGCGTTTCTTTTTCATTTTACATGTGTTTACATATAAAAAACGTAAATGCAAGAATTCCAGAAATGTAAATAAGAAGCCTGTACACCAGCTGCGCACAACTATTAAAATATGCCAAAGCGTAAATCTTCCTGGAAGGTGGAGGAAAATGGGATCATGCCTCGGGATTGTGTCTTGCAACATTTTTGGCCACGTGTTAAATTAAGAAGCTGGCACATGGTCATCGCAATAGATTTTACTCCATCATGATATGAATTGCCTAAACGCAGCGTGCCACTGGCTGCACGAAATCGGATCCCACCTGCATAAACAGTGTAGCAGATCTCAGCACAATACAAACTCATTTTGCGCCAGGGACTGTGGCGCAGTGTATTGCATATTCTGCGAATTTTGTGGACTTAAGTCTTGCAGAAACAGAAATTGCAGTTGGGGTGCTTTCAATATTTTTCGACTTGAAACAAAACCGACAACACAGGTACACAATGTGTGCGGAGTGTCTTTGCTCGCGAAAACAACAGCGACGATGATACTAGTTAAGCAGTACATGCTCATGGTCATTGACTCATTCTCTCTCGCCATGTGCATCATTCGGGCGCCAAAATCGTGGAATGCCCAGTGCAGCGCATTGCCTTCCCACATCCAAGCCCGACAAAAATCGCTGTCCTGCTCAATGAGCAATGCTGTGCCGGTTTGAGAGTCCCTTTCGAGGACAACCTCACGCGGGTGCAAGGAGCTACAATTGACTCCGAAGGTTCGAACATATGAACGGAATCCAAACATCGGACACAGAATGCATCTCCAATCTGTTCCCACTCGCTGGTCAACGCTCCGCACCCCGCCTTAATCACTCCGACCACAATCAAATACACTTCCAGCAATCGATACAGAATCAAATCAATCCACTATAACGCTGAGTACATTCCGACGCGTCACATCATCAATACGGTGCCAGTTCCAAGACCTCACTCTAGTAGGTGTACACCCATCGACAGAATTCACTATCTCAAATGCTCATGCCACGTCAGTCATTTCGGCCCCCTCGGCGCCCGAAATCCAACCACATGGTGGCGCAAGGCACACCTCTTTTTAACGTTGCCGCATCGCCCGTCTGTCCCACCATCAGGTCACCTCATCTCAAGGCGCCATGACGGCCCAGCAACCCTCGGCCCCTCCCCACGTACCCTCCTCCCACCATGACAAATCCACCCCCAACACCCCCAAAACTTCGACCCACCCACCCCCTAAATATCTCCCCACACGGCTCTCGCCATCCCACACCCCGCCATGACGCGCCCACTCCTGCTGCGAGTACTTGAGCCCGCACTGGGCTCCTCCCGCCTAGCGCGACACCCCTGCGCCGCTTTCTTGAACCAAAACACCTTCGCTTTGAGAAGACCGATCCCCCGCCAAGCGGCCGCAAGCGCAGAGCGCCGGTGGGGCCCTACTGTCCCAGTCAACGGATTGCTGACCCACAGGGTCCAAGGATTGCTTAGGTTCAGCGGCGGAGCACGAGGTGTGAGGGCCATGGCGGGTGAGGAGGAGGAGCCGAGGGTGACGCTGTACACGGCGGGGACGCCCAACGGCTGGAAGGCTGCCGTGCTCCTGGAGGAGCTGGGGCTGCCCTACAAGGTGCGGCCGATCAGCATTTCGAAGGGCGAGCAGAAGGAGGACTGGTACCTGAAGATCAACCCCAACGGGCGGATACCGGCGATCGGTAAGCGGCATGTCGGCTGAGGGAGAGTGGTCGGGGAAATGAGGGGATGGCGAGGGCTGTTCGCGCTTTTATTTGGGGATTCTCCTAGGCGTGGAGAGGATTTGTGCACGAAGATCGACCTCAACGGACGGATGTACGCAAAACGGTGTGCTCCAGCTGGGCGAAGAAAATGTGTTGGAGGAGATGAGGGGACGGCGAGCTTCTCTGTGCGTTTTCTTGGACGGCACGGGGCCTGTGCCATGTTCTTCAGAAGGGGCATGGGATCCAACCCATGAGGTCGGATTGAAGGCTGCATGAGTTGCCGCTCCATTTCTTGTCGCCAACGGTGTTTGGGATCTCGAATGGCGGCGGGGATTAGAGGCCAAAGGGCCGCTGGGCTTCACCGGGGGCGCTTGTTGGCGGGGGAGGCTTTGGCCGGCGCCAAGGCCAAGGCCGGGCGCGGGTCTGGTGGCGGCCTGCCGTCTCTGTAGGCATGACGTTGTCCATTCGGACATGTGTCACCGTCACGAAACGTCGTACTCGCCGGATACGGAAGGACGATTTGAATTAAAATATCCCGGAAAAGAAACACCACAAGAGAACTCCACAGGCGGTAAAAAAGAAAATATTGAAGACTTTTCCGGGCGCTTTTGAATTGGATATTCCATAGGTGAACTGGAAAATGCCTGCTGCATTGCCAAACAAGCGAAAACTGTTGGCGTCTTGGTGAAAGCAGTTGGCCCCAAAAGGGCGGGCTGTCTTCCTGTGCAGGCGTGGCCCCCGCAGAAAGTCTCGATAGACGCAGTTTGGGCGCGCAGAGCAAGGGTGAATGGGGGGCGATGGCGCGTGGCGCATCGTGCACCACGTGCGCACTTTGTATGAGGTGATCGCCGGCAAGAAGGTGGGGCGGGTGCGCGGGTGGGTGGGGGATGGGGGTTGGGTTGCTGTGGATCGTGTCCTTCGATCTGTTCACAACGGCAATGGCCTGGCATCAAGGGCGTGGCACGATTCGCATTCAGCGCCCGGGGTGCCCTGAATGTGTGTCTGGCCACATGCACCCAAATGGCGAAAAGCAGGCTTGTGACTCTGCAGGGACGCAGTAGCAGCGAGCAAACCGTAGTTGTAGTTGTGGCAGCGCTGCCGCGGGCGCTGCATCCCCTGGGGTCTGATATTGGTGACTTTGGGGTGGCGAGATTGTGACGGAAAGAGAGGAAAACAGGTCATGCACAGGGCAACCCCTATTAAGCAAGTGTACACAGGACTCTTTTCCTGCTGCGACTGCGGGGTGGTTATCGGCGGTTGGGGGTAGAGATCAACTGCAAGAGCTGCCATCTTGCCAGGAGGCAAAAAGCAGTTTGCGGTGCCCGAATGGATGGTAAGGGCCGCTTGTTTCAGTCCAAAATGAGAAAAGCTGTTTGTGGTGTCTGAGGCTGTGCTTGTTGCATGCTGCAGTGGACCATGGCAACGGCGACTATGCTGTGTTTGAGAGTGGAGCGCTGATGATGTACTTGTGCGACCACTACGGTGACGGGTCCCTGTTCCCCAAGGTGGAGGACGACAAGGCAAGATATGAGGTCATCGCGTGGCTCATGTTCCAGATGGTGAGCTGCCTTTGGGCACTTCCTCTCGCTGTGCTTTAACTCTGAATCGCTGAGCCGGACTGCGTTGAGCTGAACACTGAGCTCACAGCAGCCAAACAAACTTTTGAGACCCGTCACCCTAATATGCTGTTTGCTGCACGCTGTTGCAAGGAGCGTTCATTCACTGGGAGATAACCAAAGTGTGAACCGGTCTGTAGATTGGCTGTTCTGGTTTGGTAAGTGGAGTTTGCATCACTGATGGTGTTGTTCAACACAGCAAACTGTTTCTCGTCTCAGTTCAGAACAAACATAAAGGCGAATGCGATTTGCTCTGATTGTTGTCCTGCCAGCACTTCCCCAGAGTGCCAAACTTCTCTTGTCTGTTTCTTGAGACTGGGCATTCTTTTGCATTCGAACGGTTTAGGGGATTTACATCGCCTTGACCACTCTTGCTCGGTGGCACAAGGCCCATGTATTTTGTGATAGGACGGGGGAGGTACCTGGATGCTAAATGTGTTGTACTAGTCTGGAATAACAAACAAAAGTAAATAAAAAGCAGCACAGTTTGAAAATCTTGCATAGGTAATGTTGGCAAGATGGCAGCTCCCATTTTCAGTGGGTTGTGTTGCAAGGTTGCCACATTGCTGCACCATTGCTGGCAGCTTGTTAAATTGGACGTGCACGACTGAATGCCTGACGTTGAGGCTTGCTGTGTGGTGGGATGCAGAGTGGGTTGGGTCCTATGCAGGGCCAAGCCAACCACTTTGTGCGGTACGCTCCTGTACAGATCGAGTATGGCAAGGAGCGGTACGTTAATGAGACAAAGCGACTGTACAGTGTACTGGACAAACAGCTGGAGGGTAAAGAGTGGATCGCTGCGGGTCGGTATACGATTGCAGACATTGCTTGCTTCACATGGGTCTTCATACATTTCTGGTCGGATGTGGACATCGAGGAGTTTCCAAACTTGAAGGTGAGTACTGCACGGCCTTGTGCTCATTTGCTTGTGTCAAAATGTACCTGAAATTCACCTGTGAAGTGAAAGTGCGTTTGCTTTCTCGTGTGACAAATGTCGAGAAAGGGATACTACTTTCAGGATGGTGCAATTATGGGAGCCCAAGTTATTGGCCAAGCTGGGTCCCATGAGTACTGGCTATGCCATGGTCAACAAACGTAGTCCACAAAATGGATGTGAGACTTTGCCATCGATGAGCATGGCTTGTATCTGTACCTGTGTCTGCATTGTTGGCTGTTGTTGTGTATGCTGCCCAGCAGTTGTCTTGGACGTGGTTTGTGGCTTAGGGCCCCTTGGCATTGTTCAGTATCAGCAAGGGTGCCTGAAACGGGCCACGCCGTGGAGGGCTTTGCCCCTGACTTGTGCTTTAGGCTCGATTGTTTTCTCTTGGGCATCAGCAGGACTACGCAATGTGCAAAATGTCCATATCGGCACCCGGAGCCCTGAATGCCTGTTGCAGCAGGCACACACTGCACCAACCGACAGGCACTTGCTCAACAGAGCAAGATAATCAATGTTCATGCTAGGCGCACCAAGCAAGGCATCGCATTGGGCTCCAAATGTGCCTGTACTATGCAATATTTATGTGGTTGCGGTTTGTGCACGCATGCCTTTGATGCCCTGAGATTCAACTCAACACCTGCTGGCGTTAAAGAGGTGAACTGGGTGGTGCCATCGCAGGCATGGAAGGAGAGGATAGAAAAGCGTCCAGCAGTGCTGAGAGGGCTGGATGTCCCAGAGCCCACAAAGTTCAAGGTCAGTCATAAAAGGTTACAGGACACGATGCTAAGTGTCAGGCACGCTGGTGGTGCTGGTGAATATTGCCTGTGCAGTTTGCAAGCTTTCTTCCTTGTGGCTGTTGCATATTGTGCCATAGCATGCTTTGCAAAAGGACATCCCATACCTGGCAAAACTCGGCCTTTCAAATCTCTCGATGCCTTTCAGCAATTCATGTCAAAACTGTGCAAACGATATATTGACCGCATTACTGTATCCACGTTGTTTGCTCTAATCTCACCACAATCAGAATGAACTAACTGCAAGTGTGCAACTGCATGTGCTCCTAAACGACAGATCAAGTTGCACATTTGCCTGGAAAGGTGCTGAAGTCTGTATCATGGCTTGCACGTATTGATTGTGATATGCATGCACAACTTTTATGAGCCTTCATCAGCCTCCGTGAGCAGGGTATGCTGTGCCAACTTGAATCTGCCAGCGACTATGAACAAAACGAGATCGATTTTGTGCACCATCAGGGTGCTGCAGTGTCAGGGCTCCCAGAGCAAACAGAGACTTACCCTCTGAGGAAGTTTGGTGATTTCATTTGCTGTTGCAAGAAGAACTGCAGATCTTTACAATGCAAGACTGCTATGGGTGCTGGTCACTTGTTTAACATATCTCACAAACTGGTGATCTTGTGGGCTCCACTGAGCATGTTCAGTGCTGAAACTACCCCATGGATTTCGCACAAAAATTGTCACAACTGAAATCTCTTACCCCAATGGGAATGCATGAATGCGAGTGTGTGCTGTTGTTGGTCACCAAATGCCATGGAGTTTTATCTCTATGTCGCAACATGTCTCTGCCATGTTGTCTTTGAAGTGTTCACAGTCTGACTCGCATTTCCCAGCATAAGGATTCTTGGCTGAGAGGCTCCTGCGACATTACAGTGAAATTGTGAACATGTCCACATTCTGGGCTTGTGATCGCCGTGTGTGACACTGAGCAGCACTGACACACAGTGGTACCTGTGCTGTGAGCAGGAAGCCATCACCGACAAGGCCGTCAGGGAACAGATGATCAACGAGATCCGTGCCATCATCACGCCGACGAGTGCACCCAAATGATGACAAGTGATCTTGATCCAGAGCCTCACGTTAGCTTGCAACTAGATTGTCGTCTCTCTGGCCATTACCATGGCTAGCTTGGGACGATGAACAGCCTACGGCAGTGTCTTTTGACTGGTGCAGCCATTTGTGCCTCCCTTCCAGACTTTGTAACAATGTACTCCTAGAATTTTGTGAAATGGCATTTGGCCACCTGACTCTGGTTGAGTCAGGTTGGTCGTTGTCATTGATACCTTGAATCTGCCAGATTTGGCAGTGCTGGCCTCTTGGCAGTTTGCACGAGGTCGTGCCGCACCTCTGAATGTCATCTGTGGCGGTTGTGTGCTGTGCTTCTGCAGTTTCGCAGTGTAAGCAACGGTACGCCTGCCCAGCGCTCTATTTTGGGCTGCAGGTGGCTGCTCTGTTGTGTTGGCGGCCCAATAAAAGCTGCTGTTTCAATCCCAGTTGAAAGCGAAGCCAGTTTAGCAAAACGCAGACTTGGGACTTGCTCCATGTGTGATTTGATATTCTGCAGTGCGCGCCGGTTGAACCTGTCCGCCCCTTTGGCCTCCATGTACTCCCAGCGTGAGCTCATCTTCGCATGCAGAAGCGTGGCGCCGTCGCTGTACTCATTCCCTCATCTTCATTGCTGCTCCACTGCTGGTGGTCGTTGAAGACACCAACTCTTCGGTGTCGGCACTGTGCACCAGTTTTGGCTTCGTTTATCGTAAGGCAAGGCACCAGAGAAGACGACGTGCTCTTACTGCCTTACAGGAAGGCCTGTGCCCTTGCGAAGTCAACAAGAGCTGTTTCAGTTTGGCAGTCACACCATTGAAATCTTCATTGTGTGTGGCATTCGCGTGCAGACTTTCAACACAGGGCGCATTTTTAATGCACTGGCGGCTCTTCCAGTCGTTGATCCGGGGAGCATTTCCACATCACTGCCATGGGAACGCCCCCCCCCTCCCCCTACACACACACACACACACACACACACACACTCTCTTGCTATCACAGCCGGTTCTTGCTTCCGGAAATGTAAGGAATAGCTCTTCATACTCTGGCCATTGACAAGTTGCTGCAGTGGCGAGACAACACGTCGGCAACCGCAATGTCGGGGAAGAAACTATGTCGATTTGTTATGCTTAACGTCAAATTGACGTTAGGTTCAGTTCCCCCACCCCAACCCCACCCCACCCTTGACGCCAATGCTTGTGTCGATGCTAGGATGACTCAGCAACATGCCTAACAACGAAACAAAACTTCTAATTGTTTTGAAGACAAAGCTCTCATAGTTGTGCAAATTTCGGCGTGCTACAAAAACGAAATCTAAAAGCTATCATAGGCAAGGCAGGCAGCCTCAATGGTTGCAAATTCACGCATTCTAAGGATTTTCTTGAAGGTTGAACATTTCAGGGAGGTTTAGGAACATGTCACAAGCGTTTTGCTATTGATCAACTTTGAGGCATCTTTCCACCTTGTGTCGATTTTGTTGCAATTACATATGATCTTAATTTCGCAGATCTGGATCCCCCCCACCCTAGTGCCAAATCGGTGCTAAGCATAACAAATCGACGTTCTGTAATATATCAAACCGCTCCACCTAGGCCAAATCCCACTGCTACGCGTTTTGATTCGCATTTTCTGTCAGAGCATTTGCACATGCATTCCGTGCCCAGGGACTGTCATTGCTGTCCTAGGCGTACGACCGAAACCAGCGAGCGATAATCTGGATGAGACTCCTCCACACGACAAGCACAACTCCTGAACACTTCAAGATGTCACTGATAATCTATTCTTACAACCAACAGAAATGTTCAAGGATTCACCAACTTGATCCCCAACTCAGCATTCCAAGCACCCCTTGATTCCACCAACACAACCAGATTGTAGCACTACAATGTCCAACGAATAGTTACTCCACCTCCCAGTCGATTCCAGAATCAATCGGCATTGACCATCCAACACTTGAACCTCTGATCCAGAAGATCCCCCGCGCTGATCCCAACTCCACTCCAAATAATCCAGAACTTTGTCAAATGATTCCTTGACACATGCTTAACAATTTGCCTAGTTGGTCCCAAAGTCCAATTCCAAGTCCTTCTTACCGCTCTAGTACTTTAGGCCTATTTGGGGTCCTGATCGGGCCCAGAACCGGGGTGTGCAACGGGTTGGCGCGGTTTGCAAATGTACCAATGCCCCCCCTTTTATCTTCTGCCATTACCCCATAACACCACATTCTAGCACCATCACAAGAGCCTTTACACTATAACATCCCACGCCTTATCCCATATAACTTTCCCTTACACCATTTCCCTCCAAATGCACTTCCTATTGAACTGCCCTATTCAAACGCCTATTCAAACTACAAATTCACATATTGCACCTATAATATTCTCCCTTCCCGTCAGAACCCCCCACTCGCCAGAATTCACTACATGCCTCTTGTTCGGGGCGCCAATTAATGTAGAAAGATTGCATTACAGAAAGAGCCCCTTTAGCAGCGCTCAGCTGGCGCCCCGTGAGAGCCAGAACCAGTGGCACGTAGCCCAGACTCGGCCCAGAATGACTACGAGCGTCAATGGCAACACCGTCACAGCATCTGGACAACGCCACAGGGGCCCAGGACGCTCTGGAAGCCCACAGGAACTGTCAGCGTAGCCACCGTAGGCACGAAGCAGGCGCGAAGTACCCTCCAGCACGGCTGGCCATGAACAGAAACTCACGCAGCACCATGGAAGCACCATTGAGCCTCCGCTGGCCGCAATGTACTGGAACTGCAACCGTCGACTCCTCACCGCCCAGGACGACTCGGGAACCCATGCGTGTGCGGCAAAACCACACCGAAGGGCTCAGAGGAACACGCTGAGGAGCTCTACGTCGAGACATCGGAGCAATGCCCCGAGATTGCAGCAAACGGCCGAGCGTCATCCATGGGGCCACGGGAGGCCCATCCCATCCACCCGGCCGGATTATCGACCTCGACGAGCCGAGCAAAAAGTAGCCGGTGAAAAACACGGGCAAGGGGGAGGCCTTGAGGTCTGCCGGAACAGAATGAAAGCGGAAGGCGAGGGAAGAGAAAGCCCCCACATTCCATGCGGTCGGACACGTGTACCGCGAATGGCCACGGCTCACGGAGCCGCACGGTCGATCCTCGCGCTCCAACGAAAAAGTAACCCGGCAGGATTACGGACGGGGAGGTTGCCTCCTATCCTGCACGGGAAGTTTGGTCGCAGAGGCCCAGGGGAAAGAACGCGGCCGTCCCGGCGGCCGGCGGGGCACGGGGTGTGAACGGGGACGCAGAGGCTGGTTCGGGGGAAAACGGCTGTACTGCCGACAGCTGACTCAACCTGGCACCTGTGGGAACGCCGCGGTGGGCTGGAATCGGGCAGTATCGCCCAGTATCGGGCGCGTATCGACCGTGGGAGCGTGTCGGCGTAGTTTACGACCAGCTGAAACTTCCAACAAGCCTGGACTTGGCTGTGCACCTGTTTTCAGAACTCATTTAGTTTAGATGAGGTCATTACATTTTTCTGACATTTTCCATGTACTCAGTGATCGATTTGTAATGAGTTGGTACCATTTTCAACTCATTCTGACCTCTTCTGAATTAGTTAGAGTTCTTATTCGGTGCCAAAGTTTGGGCTCCAGGGACCCAGCGGTTACGGAGATATCGAAAATTTCATCTCAAGAATTCAGATTTGAGTGGGAAGATATGGGCAGAATGAGATGAAACTTTGGGATGTGATAATACAGCTGGTCTTTTAACCAATGAGCCAAAGAACAGGTCATTTGGATTAGTAGTGAGAAAGATATGGCATTTCCTGTGATTATGACCATCTGGCTCACATGGTATTTATAGTCCACATGTAACGGATGAACTGCCCGAAGCCTCCAGCATGGCTGGTTCGTCGTCCAGTGTGAGTGAGGACTCCCGCTTGGCGAAGATCAGGCGCTGGCGACAACTTTTAGGAATGCCCTGCGAGGAGTTCGATGCTGCCTCAATTTGACTGACTTTTTGGCAGCGTTTTCTAATATTTTCGTGAGTTGTTGGAATGTGCACGGAGGGTGAATTGCACAGAACTAGTAGTGAAGAGATGCAGCTCGTATTGTGAAGTCAAGTGTTGCTATGAAAGACAGCTCTTGTCTAATGTATTGTGAGCAAAGATATGCAAAGCGAAAAAAAGAAGAAAAGGGGACAAAGTGTATGTACGGGGAGTGGAAACATGGATCTTGATGGGTGAAGTGGAGCGGACTGCATTGATGCGTCCGTCGGCATAGATTCGTGACGTTAGGATGTACAGCTAGTACTTTGTGATGTTGATTTGATTGAAAGGGAGTCTCCTGTATGTCGATCCGGTCTGATCGTGATGGAACGCAGCGGGAACCGTTGTGGGTGAGTCAGCGCTGCGTTGAGGGGACGCTCTGAGGAATGGGCTCCATTCCCAAGACCTCGGAGGGCCCTAGCATGACGAGAGGGGAGATTGGCGTGTGGGGAGGGCCATGTGGCCTTGGTACGATGTCAATGACGTGAGGGAGGTGAGCGTCGGAGCCGCAGGCACCCAATAGGGGGCTGTGGTGCGCCTAGGGTGTTGATGGGGAATATTCGGAGGCTGAAAGGTGGCACCCTTAGGAATGGGGGGCATTCCCAAAACCTTGGGGTGCCATAAGTATTGTGGGAGCTGGGGTTTGTTGTCCCTTCCAGCGGGTTGTTGGGAGCGACGACGGGGTTGTTGTGGACGGACGCAGCTGTAAGACATCCCCTGTTCGTGAACGAGTGAGTGCAAACAGGTGGCATTGGCGCGCAGCCAAGCACCAGCGCCCTACAAAGGGCCTGAACTGTGTCTTGTGAGCTGTGGGACGACGGGAGAGGGTTCGCCAACCCCTTGACCGTTGGGTGAAGGGCTGACCAACGCAGTCACCCTGTCGCCGAGCTGCAAGCTCTTTCTCGTTCAGTGTCGTTGACCAGCTGACCCTCGTTCGCGTCATATTTCACTGACAAAACGCAGCGGCGAGTTGTCCAAGTGCTGAAGAGCAGCTGAAGAGCCTTCTCAAGTGTTTCAGTGGTTCAGGGCTGTTGTTTTGAGGCTAGTCTTGACAAGCCCTTGCCCAGCTGTAATCGTCCTCGACGATCAGCATATGCCTTTGTTTCAGTCTGCCTTCAGTTGCTCCCACTCTCACAAGAATCGTGAGTCGGACAGGTCCTGGGTACTATCGGCGTGACTGGAGTACCAGGAGGTCGTTTCCTTGAACGCAGCTGCACATACCGTCGTCTGACTGATTGAACACTGTCACACGGTTTGCAATACGGGGTTGCAAGCCCGATTCTGGGACTCGTCTGGTCTACGGTGTTCTGTTGCAAACATCCCAGCTGGTTATCATCATTCGTGTCAGTCAGGCTATCGCCAGCAGTTGAGCCAATCTGTGAGAGGAGCGAAGCTTGAGAGGAACCGTTTTACAGCCCAATTTGCATCATGATGAACTGGGCACTCGTTCACTCTCCTAGTGATGCCATCCCATTACTCTATCGCCATTTTCCCTTATCCCATACACAACACTAGCCACCGGCATACTTTACACTCTATTTATCTTTCTACACTTTTATCAGAGCGCCCACAGCACCCCGCGGCCCTCACGCACATTGGCAAGGGTGGCAATACGGTGACACGCTCTCATCACAACCCATCACACTGTTGCCACCATCGTTATGTAATGCACATGGTGCACCGGGCCCAACGACCCAGTGCCACCAAGTTCACACCTATACTCCAGCGTGTGTGACCCCATGGCATGTCACACTCGCCTATGATGATGAAAATAGATGATTGGTCATTATCCTAAATGGCTTTCATGAGTTTAATGAACTAAATGATTGTCATTTAACATCATGTATCAAAATTCATCAGAATGCTGCAAGCAATCCAATGATCATGTTTTCATGGCCAAATTGCATCATATTAGTCATGTAACTCATCAAAAATCCTTGTCAAATTATCTAAAACATCAATTTACCTTTTGTATCGTTGTGCATACCGTAAGTTTGCCTCAACAAGGAGCCAATCACCGTACACATCATATTATAAAGTGTAAGCATTATTGGCGACCCGAATAGCATTACCTATTCTTCCAGTTGCTTTGCATCGTCTCCCGCTTTTGTTACAGAAGCTGCATGACAAGCTTCATGTGCAACCGAACAGTTCTTGACTTCTTGCATACGCAATGCGACCCAAGCAGCGGGTAAAAAAGCAGCCAGACTTGAAACATTGTTCACATTCCCAGCGTTGAGCACGGTTCCCAAGAATCCCAGCGATGCACCCATGCAAGGACTGGTGTGGATTAGCACTGATTTCAAGGTAGATTCGAAGGGTGCTGGCATCAAGCCGGTGGGGTGCAGCCGCTGATTGAGGCTCAATGCGTTTCACTGCTTTCTGCCCTGGGGACAACCGGAATGGCAACTCCGCCCAGTTCGACCAGCGCAGAGATTCGTGCATCCGTGGCGGCCAGGCGCCACGGGCAGTCCAGAGCCCCTCACGTCGCAGTTGGTCTGGTTTAGCTGTGGCCGGGGGGAATTCTAGATGGCCTTTGGGCACAACATGGGCAACCAATGGCATCGCGGGTCATGGCAAACCCAGCTCCTCTTGGAGCGCTACTAAATTGGCTGCTCCGCATTTTTGCTCCAGCAACATTATACTTACGTTCACAGCTCCGTGAAAAAGGGCACAATATTACGTTACAATGCTAAACAATTTAATGTACCTCCTCCGTCCAAGATCAATTGTCATCTATTTGAAAGATATATTTCGCTATGTAAACCGCTTCCAAAGTATCAATAGAGGTAAGAATCGAAAGATTGGGTTCCAAAACACTTGACTACCAATTTTTGTGAAAAATACTCAACCCCAATGCCTCTAACACCACCTTGAAATTTCCTAGGATTTGGCCGAAAACTGTGTATTCTGATTACGCGTTCGTTGGAGATCCATGTTGTTCTTGGTCGCTCCTTTCCCTAGCATGCAAAGTGGTTGTTGTTGTTGTTGTCATTCGAAGGGCAGTGCCCCTCACATAGTATAGCACTTGCCAAACACCTTCAACTATATCCGGATCCCCATCAAATAAACTCGTTGTTAGGGCATTGACGATGGCAGAATCGCCGCCCTCCTTGATCTCCAATGCGAGGATTTGCCACAAGCGGAAAAAGCAAACGTCCAAGACGCTCAAGCTGGGGCTCTGTGCGTGTTATCAATTCTAAGGCTGTGCTATAATTTTTCTCTGATATTGCACTTCTTTGATCCTTGAATAGAGGCTTTTGTGTCTGGCTGGTCTCACACTCCAAAAATTAGCATTAGCCGGCAATTTGCATATGGGTTCCACAACTTCTCCCAATCTACATTGTCTCTACTCGTGCGAGAGACATAAAATGATTTACCTGACCATTCGCTTCGCGTTCCACCTTTCCAATTGTCGAGGCAAAGGGTCGACTGTGCCATCCTGCCTTGGAAGAATTTCCCCTATTCGTCTGCCATTGAGTAGGGTGATGGATATCGCATTCCGTTTCACCTCTTCAAAGGAGTCAGGAGGCCTTGTGCTATGAGGGATACAGCAACGACAGAGGTTCAAAGGTCGCACCCTAGAAATTTGGGCAGGAATCGCATCCCGAATTCTCCAATCGATCTCGAATTAGGGCAACGAAGCCACGGCGACTTCCAATGGAAGTCATGATGGCATGATCAAGCCCACCAAGACACGTTTTCTACCCCTGTGCTTCTTCGCAGGGACCTCTCCATGCTTTTGTCCAAACAGTATGGATAGTTTTGCATACGCGGTCTTGTTTGGCCGCCGCAAAGTCGTGCTCCTCACCATCGGCAAAAAATGGTTGTTTCGATGACTTTGTCTAAAAATGGTGGGGTTTCTGGCGGGAGAATGCTAATACAAAGTGCTGCCAAATCTTCAGTACTTCATGGACTGACTTCAAATTTTGATCGTATACTCCCGAAGCATAAACGCACCTTTGGCGAATTTTCATTGAAAATGAAGCTTTGGGTGAGAGAAGTAGGGCGTCAAATTCACAGAGGACAATGAATGTTGGACGGAGGAAATACTGCAGTAGTGTCTTCCCTCAGTTAATGCAACAAGTGGCACAAAGAGGAGGCAATTACACAATATACAAACCAATACAAGACACTTGCTTCAAATACCCTCCAGTGCACCATTCCAGACTTCGGCTTCTGTGGACGCCTTGCTCATGCACGCCTTGGGGGTGTGCGATCCATGCCCCACTCTCGCTACCACCCCCACCCCCACCCAACGTTAATGGTGCCTTGGCCGTTTCAGCAGGATATCCCCCCACCACAAATTGGCACCACAAATTAATGTACATACCAATGGCACGTATTGTCATGTATTATTCATGGCACAGCAATGCCGAATTGCAACAGGCAAATTTCCCAACACCCTCGGAAACTGCGACTGCCAATGGATGTGCTGCACATGCCCTCCCAATCTGGCATTGTCAATAAATGCCAGAAAAGCCCAATTAATGTTCACCACGTCGTTCCACCAAATGTCTTCTTGTTTGGGAAAAGTGGAAAAAAACAGAACTGGTAAGGAAAAATAAAAAATACCCACCCATGCACTGTTTTGGTATCACAGTGTTCCCCTGCTAGCATGCTCCCATGTGTACTGCAATTCCTGCACCGGTCATCAATTCTTCCCCAACGGCTCGATTTGAACAAGCTATGTCGTTCCCCAAAATCTCCTCATTTTCTGCTCTGTACACGCTGCCCACCCTCTCAACAGTAACTACCAGTATCACCAAAGAATTCCCAGGCAACAATGCCTGGCGTTCAGAATTCATAGCACGGCACACCATCAAAACTTTTGATGCGTCGCCACAATATGCGCAACCTTCGTGCTGCAATTCGTATTGAATTTCACCTCCCTACATGCACAAAATTGCTTGAGGATGCGCGAGCCACACATTCGCACAGGACAGCGTCGATGGCGAATGTCCATCAGAAGGCCGTCCCTGAGCTTTGAGAGTGTGCGGCTTCCTACCGCGGTGTGCAATTCACCATAGCTACTTATTGAAACTGCAAAAGACGGCCAGTGCAAGGCCGCCACTGGAGACCCCCTAGGACTGCACTCGCGGTGGCTGCAGTCTGTGCATGCTGCTGCAATCCACCCATCGTGAAGTTGATGATTCCGCGGTGCCAGGACAGCCCCCTCGCGCTGCACGAGTGGCCCGGCCACTCCAACGTCAGCGCCAGCGGCGGCGACGCATTTATACCCAATTAGTAGCAGTGCCAGCCTCTGAGCCTGTCTTCCAGCAGCTTCCTGCGCTGAGAGTTCGACATTGAGATCGCCCTGACGTGGTCGTGCTGCAGCGGCTGCAGTCCCCAGGCCCAGGGCCTGCCGCGCTCACGCCGCCGAGGCTGCAGCAGGCAGTGCATTCGCAGCACGAAAATCATCCTCTCCGCCTTCTCCATGCTCCCCATGTCCCACAGCGTGCGCAGCGACGGCGACGTGGCGTGGGCCCCAGGTTCCAGGGCGGCCAACAGGATGTAGCACTCCCGCTCCTCCCTGTCCAGAGCGTCCAGCGCAAAGTCGAAGCAGCGCATGAGCGTCCAGTGGCGCTCCCTGTCTTCGGGGTTGAGGCAGTCGGCGTTCGGCGGCATGCGCACCCGGAACTTGCACACGGGGTCGGACAGTGTCCCGAAAAAGGCGCCCACCGTGGACCTCATCCTGAGTCTGTCCCTGTCCAAAACCTCGCACAGGCGCAGCCCGAGGATCACCAGGGCCAATGGGTGGCCCCCGCAGGACGCCACGAGCTGCCCAGCCTCCTGGCGGTGCACGCCGTTGCCCGCCACGTTTTCCAGCAGGCGGCGGGACTCCTCCCCCGCAAGCGGCCCCACTTGCAGGCACGTTTTGTGTGGGGCGTCCTCAATCAGGCGCCACAGCTGCGACGTGACCAGCAGCTCACAGTCCAGGTCCTCCACCTCGTCCAGGAGCTCCTTGCTGCGCAGGTCGTCGAGGACGACAAGGCAGTCCCTGCCGCGGAACAAGTCGTTGATGGCAGCCAGCCAGTCACCGTCGCCGAGCGTCTCACTGGTCCCGAACGGGAATGTCTGGCCTCTGTAGAGACTCAGCACGCGCCGGCGGATTTCTTGCAGCAGGGGGAGGGCGCCCCTCCCTGATGGGCTCCCGTACTGTCGACAGGAAACCCAAAAAATCCCGTCCTTGAATGCGGCCTGGACTTGGACGTCTTGGACAGCGGCTGTGGCGAGCACCGTCTTCCCAATGCCGCCCAGTCCTTCGATGCTCAGCCGAATCCTTAGGCTCCCTTCGCGACGCTCCAATCCAGACAACTGATCAGTTGTCTGGATTAAGTTGGCCACGATTTCCTTCACAGGCCCGGATCGTGGCACGTATTGCTGTGGCAGTGGGGGGGCGCAGGTCGCTTCTCGTAGCTCTTGCGACGTGAGCGTTTCCTTCCAGCCAAGCTGGCGAACACAGAAACAGTTATTGGTGGAGCCCGTCGCACTGCTGAGGTGTACAGTGAGACGTTTTACGAATGGGCACAGAATTCTGTGCAGAATTTTGACTTGTAGAAATCAAACCTAGACCAAATTGAGGTTCCACTTAGTCCAGTCTTATTAGAGGAACACCTTTGGCCCAAATTGTGACGTCGTGGTTCGATCCCACAAAACTGAAGGAACAAATCACTTTTCACTTTTCACATCATTCATCACTTTTCGTGTTTGGAGGGTCGAAGCGTGCTTGGTTTTAACTTTTACATTCTTACTTTTACGTTTTTTAGTGTAAAAACGTAAATTTGCATAAACGTAAAGGCCTATTTTTATGGCTATTTTTACGTTTTTACGGCTCACAGGGACACCAGGTTACACGATGAACGTTGCATACAATGAACAATCTTCCACCATCTCCAGCACCCGCAACACAATGTCCACCTCGCCCTTGGCAAGGGCGATGATGGTGTTTTAACAAAAACTCGTCTTTTGCCCCTTCCAGGCCGTCTGGCTGCCACTGTCCGGACTCCGCAAGTCTGTGTGTACTGTCCCCATGTACACCAGGCAGTTTTTACGTTGTATTTACGTAGTTTTACGCATTTTTGCGCGTAAAACATAAAAACTATTTTTACGCATAAAATGGTGAATACAACCAGTTTTACGGCATAAAAACCAGGCCTGGGTCGAACGACAAGTTTCAGCACAAGTCAGGGTGTTCAAGGCTTAGCGTCTGTTGCAAATACAAAACAAAAGCTCAGAAGACCGTCACGACTTTCGTCTTCTGAATTGCAGGGTATCAGACATTTGCGCTCCACGCGGCTGGACTGGGTTCCTCAGTTTTTTTATACTAGGTGTTCCTTTTGCTGAGTGTAGAAGAGGTTGAACCTTAATTTGGACCACGTCAAACCTGTTGGCGATGAACTGCATGACTGGCCTGTGCCACGCACCGAGCTCCCTACACTAGTAAAAAAAAGGCCAGATGACACAATCATGACACGGTCTGCTCAAAATCCGACTATGTACTTTTGGCAAATGTGGTCCCAAAACTGCACAGTTAATACACATATTGACACAGTTTTAACTGTGTATCCTAGGAAACCGTGTAGTCTACACAGTTGTTTGAGGGTACACGGTTGAACGTGTGTCAATGTGTGTACAAACTGTGTAACTTTGGGACCACATTTGCCGACGAAAGTACACAGTTGGATTTTAAGCAGACTGTGTCAAGACTGTGTCATCTGGTCTGTTTTTTCCTAGTGCTATGCGCTGAAAAACGCCTCCCCAATTCATTATCCCGAATGCCCCAATGAGGCCAAGCATGTCGCTGAGGGGAGCTTTACCCTTAAACCGGTGAAACATGCTTGTCTTGGGGCACATGATATTTATCGGAAGTTTGCATCAAAGCAACGCTGTGTCGTGAGCGAGAACTGACTCTGAAACAACGTTGTTTGATTGTGGGACATGTTCAAATACCTGGTGCACGTGACTCTCCATGACTGTTCCAAGGCCTGGGAAGCTTCCCACTCCACTTGAGTCGACGAAATCCTGAAAAGCAGTGGACGCCGGCGGCTCAAGCATGAACAGTATACGTATTAGCATAATGAGGTATGTAGTAAGATGTGTTATAGGACATACTTAATAATAGTATGTACTTCAGAATAGTGCCGTTCTGCCGATGCCAAGAGATAATGTCAAACATGTCTGAAAGGCCTAAAAATACACATAACTTGTGCAGGAGGGAAAAGCAACGAGCAATCAGCCGTGTCACACCACCAGCTCATCAACAGATGTGTTCCCATCATTGGGATACGTATTCAAATGCAGTTTCCGCAGCTCGTGCAGCAAGCAACCTTGCAGAAATCGGCTTTTGCGTCGCCCACGCATTCTGGTTCAGCTGAAAGTGGCATTCCCAACCGCGAATGTGCGTGGTTTGCACTAGGAAAAAAGGCCAAATAACACGTGTTCAATCGTGTGCAAGAATTTACGGGTTTGGGTTATTTTCGTGTTTTCAGCATGAAGAACAATGATCATATGCATATATATATATATATATATATATTGGAATTAAATATATATATATATATATATATATATATGTGTGCTCGCAAAAATTGTTGTCAGGTTCTTTTTTTGCTAGTGTTGCATGCAGAAGGGAAATTCATTGGTCGACACCAATGCATTTGGCTCAGCGCACCTCTGGATTTCTGTTTCGACGCGCAGCAACCCTGGGCAACACTACCAGAACAGCCACTGCCACCTGGAAAAAGGAGCAGCAGACAAGAAATAAGCCGGTTTGCCTGAAGGAAAACAGCGTCGCAAAATTCCTTCAGCAATACAATACATGCGAAAAAATTTTGCGGCTATTTGCAGCAGATTGAAGAAAAGAGATTGAGATGACTATCAGTTACACAAACTGAGGAGCGCAGCTTTCAGACCCGGTGCCAAAAGTTCTGAAACCGGGCACTGAAAACTGCTGAAGTGGTGCACAGTTGCCCCATATAACCAAATCTCACAAGTACAAGAGATCCGTGAACTACGGTCATACCGGTCCACTATTGCCCGTTTCACACATTTTTTGCACATGTTCCAATTGTTCGAAATTGGGATTTGAAATCGTGTATAGCGGGCTCAAAACGTGTTACAATGGGACCAAAAACACATTTTCTGATCCGCATTTCTGAATTCATGTTCATTTGCTGGAAAATGACAAAAAAATCACAGCTACAGCGTCAATTGAAAGGGCCAGAGGAACCTTGATATCTCCTCGGAATGTGCTTCTGCCTGACGACTCACCGCAAGCACCGTAGTGCCAACGCCAAGACAGATTCCCTCCACACGGATGCGAACGGCAGTCGACTGATCAGGCTCATGCTCCTGCGCATGCACGATGCACATAACCGCTATCAACCGCTATCAGGCACCGCTAGGATTCATTCCTCGATTGAGACATCACAATGTTGTACATGAAACACGGCTGAAACATGGAATGACTCTCGCTACATGTGGCTTCTGCAATATCGGCTCTGGAACCACAGGACTCTACACCAGTGGTGTGCCAGCACCCTTAGTGCGCTTGTACCACTATTCTGAATTTTCATGAATTTGCATGCATGTAACCACAGCTAATATGCCATTGCATCCATGCACAGAGCAAAAACGCAAATAGGTGCGAGGCACATCCAGACATTGATGGTGATATGGCGTTTGGTGACAGAACATGATGAGATGTATAGAGTGCCGCTAGGCATCCAGGCATTGTTAGAATTTTTGGCTGTGTCAGCGGGCAGACGTGTCTTCTCGCAGTTCTGCAGAGTGCTTGTACCAACACATAGGACTGAATCATGCCCAACGCCTAGTCCGAAACATCCACGTTTGAGTGATGGCAAATTTGAAAAGATGCTGAATTCCCGCCCCATTTTGCTGAATTCACGTCTAGCGCAATTTCAAGTGCTTCATGCAATTAAAGCAAATGCAATCCCTAACAATTTGCCAAACGAGCCGAATTAAAGTTCCAAATTGTTGATAATGTCATTGATCTAAATTGAATACTGTATTGCATAAGATGTTTTTGGTTACTTGCTGCCAGCTCTCCCCGTGATCTCGCATTGCAACCCTACTCCCTGCCAAGGTCAAATCGACGCTTCTCAAACAGTATCCGCCCCCCCCCTTCCGAACAACAGCATCCGTTTCTGGAAGTCTCCACGCTGGCCAATTATACTCAGCAATGAAACGCAAAACTTTGTGCTCATTCACCTCGGTGATGGTGATTATTACCAGAGCACGTAATTACTACTATCGACGCCCAAAGCGCTTCTGCGGCACAGACAACTGCTGTAAGAGGCACGCACTCGAGAAGCAGTGACGTTTTGAATCCATGCGTGCACTTCGCTTGCAATGACGCACACAACGCCGCTGTTTTCAATGTCGGAGTAGTTCGTGTACGAAACGACGCCCGCTATCACGTCATTCTCGGGAGTCCCCACTTCGATGTCGACCACCGGCGATACCGACGCCAGTATGACCGGTCCACCTGAACAGCCTGCATCCCAGGAACGCCATGTCGGTGACATGTAGTGACACCCTTTCGAGCTGACACAGTCATCTACACGATGACTAATGGCGGCACTTGAATGGCTTTTTTTTCGCTCCCCACATAAATACATGCACGTCAATGTGGATTTTCCAACGTTTGAAGAAATTGCATTACGATGCATGACCAACTGATTGCTAAAATCTTTTATGTTGTCCTCACGTAATGTAAGACTTGAAAATGCCAATTGTGTGCATTCCATATATATATATATATTTGAATTCCAAATGTATTACATATGTGTGAAAACGAGGGAACTCCCCGGCAACTCGCAAAGTATAGTAGGATCCTTTTCCAGCAGGAGCCGATGTAGGATCCCAAATAAAAGGAGAGCAAGATACCAGCATTGTTCATAGAGGCCAGAATGTTCCTGCAGGGGAGTCCCAAGCAGCAGGGCAGAGTGTTCAGTCAGAAGGAGAATGTATCAGGTCATGTCCCAAATATCCCAGAATGTCCCAAGATGTCCCAAGTTGTCCCAGGCTGTCTCAAAGTCTCCCGGAGTGTGCCAGAGTGTCCCATATCCCATGCCCTGTCTGACTTCTAGCGTCGAACTTTCCCAGTCTCGACAAACAATAGCCTCTCTCAATGGGAAAGATCAAACAATCAATGCATAGTGCTCCTTCGAAAAGCCCTCAGGAAACGAGCCAAGAATATTGAACTTGTGTAGATGGATTCACTTTTTCCAATAAAAGCGGATTACGAAGGAGCTGACCAACACTTTATTACGGTATCTTGCTTGTGAGATAGCTCAATTGCATTTACTGCAAATATCGCAAGTGACTGAATTAGAAGATAGTGTATATTCCTGTTACATCGTCGTTTGAATGACGATCGCAAACAAAAAAATCCAAATCCTTCAATTACCGAATCAGGAATGGTCTACTTGATAAAATCCGTGACCTCAAGTGTGATGCTTGCTTTACCTGTTGATAAAATGTGCCACAATTTGCTTCCAAATTCGCCTTGTTATTGCTCAGCAACAGCATTAAAGAAGTGGAACACCTTACAGGATTCAATCCCGGACAGCAGCCAGTCAACTGAATTCTGTAAATGCATCTGGAAAGACACAGGCACTCAAGCAAATAGATCTCAAAATACGGTCGATCACCGGAACCGGACCAATTTTGGCACAAACATAACTCGGTTGTATCATTTTCCGGTATAGCATAGCATCCGGTAGCCGCAAGTCGGATTTCTGCGGCGTGCACATGTTCCCTGTTGAAACACTACATACCGGGCTCCATGCCAGCTCCCCTTGCATCCACGCAAAAATTGCTGTCGACAATCCCATTCAGCTGTGGGCAGCGGGCGTTTTCCACAACCGTCAATTGAACCATTTGAAGGGGCTCATTCTTGTCGAGGTCGAATTTGAACGTGTAAACTTTGTCGTTGGGATACAGGTTGGAGATCGGGGGAGATGCCACCATAGGGAATGACAAGTCCACTGGTCGTGACATCTCAAGCAGAGCAACGTCGAAGCCCTCGGTACAGTTTCCGTTCCACTGGGGGTGCACGTGCTGCTTTTCTACACGTAGCTCCTGGCACAATCAGTTACAGCATGTCTGATGGACGGACGGTGCACACAAGAACAAATGAGATTGGACTGCAGACAGCTGCTGTAGACACTGGGCAAGCATGTTGAGCCTCCGGGCCAAACGCCTGATTCTGGCAACGAAACACTCCTGCAATATGTGTCGATGGAGAACACGGTGAGCACACACCGCTGTGCACAACATTTGATGTGAATCGCTGAGCCCAGCACATTCCAATGCTGAGCCCACATCAAGAATTGAATCGCCATCAGCAAGGGCTGCATTGAGATCATTGGGATCTCCAGGCAGCTGTTTTCATTCTCAGGATGCTCTCTATAGAGCATTATGGAGGAATGGATGGTAGTTCACATATTAACAGCCATTGATTTCCTCCCTGTGTGTCTTGTACAAGGAAGCAATTTGCTTATTTGAGATCTTTCAAGCACAAGAAAACAGTTTGCTTTCTTACCAACAGGCTTTGGCTGCTTCTGTTTTAGCATCGGGCATCCTTTCCTGGGATGTACCTCAGTTTCTTCTGTGATGCCCTATGTCAGACAGCATATGCTTGGATCCCAGGATGGTTGGCCGTAAAACATAAAGGGTGATGGATAACCTTGCCCATCTGGAGGTTCCCCCAATGCACAACACATATTCAAAGCTGCCAAGCAGCAAGGCTGTTCTCTCCCCAATTACACTGATGCCATCTCATTCCATCCACTCTCACCTTTACCCCAGTTGGATGCCAGCTGCTATTAGCCACAACTTGACCAAACGCTATCAGAAGATTGTGTCCTGCCCGATCAATGCAATGAGCAGCTGTAAGCACGTGCCACCTGGCAATAGCAGCTCCTGTGCAAACGTGCTGCTGGGCCCTGCCTCTGATGCTGACAATCGCTGGAAAGCGGCTGGTCGGCACCGTTTCAACAGCAATGGCCTGACAGACACAATCCCTCAGTTTCTGCTTGGTGGTCGTCATTGCCCCATAGCTTCGACCCCAGCCTTCAATGCCATGAGTGGCATTGTGACACAGTTTTTGAACCCCATTGACACCATTACTGCGGACAGGTTGTACATGTGGTGTGCAAGACGTGTGGCCCCATCCTGCACATTCTTGAATTGCAGGCAAGGCGATGTTTTATTGAGCAGCATCCCACTGTTTGCATAACAGCACCATTTCACCTGTGGGACAGGTACAAGGAGACAAGAATTCCGATGTTTGACTTGCATTGCATCGTTTCTGATATGGTGTACTTACAACAAAAGAGAGAGGCACAACGAGAAGCAGCACAAGCAAGCAAAGCAAGCTGTTGGCACAGTAGTACACATATTCTTCTGTGAGTCTCTGCCTCCCCGTTGTGGCCTCCAAAAACTTCCTTGATCTTAACTGCATTCATGTTTCAGGACCATGCTTACATGGCAAACATCGCTTTCCTGTTATACTCTGCCTGAGCATGTTTGCCAAACATCCATCCAAACATCAGCAAATGTGTCAGTGAAGATTGCAACGAGGGCATGCGCAGTATTATGAGGGTCGAACACAGCGTCAAGCAAAGGCTATACCTGATTCAGGCTCAGGGATAGCCTTGGCATCACCAGAACTAGCAGCAAGGGCAGCAGCTGTATAGGCACCAAGAATTTCCTGCATGAGCAATGCACACAGGCAGGATCAGCAAGTGCTCTTGGACGAGTCTGTGCATACAGTATGCCCTCTGGAGCTCACCTCATAGCCAAGGACTGCCACGGGTTCGAGTGTACGATGGCATGTCTTAGAGTGTGTTGGTGTAAGTTGTCAGTCCTGGTGCACCTGTGCAGTGCTGTGCTGTGTTCACATGCTGATGGCTTGAAATGCTGTGCTTGGCTGCACAACTCTTTGCTCTGTGTGGAATGCAAACCATGCCAATTGAGCGCTGACATGAGGGACTTGCCACTATTCCCAATTTGCCCAACAATGTCTGGGACAGGCCCAACACATCGTTTGGCAGTGCCTGGAAGCGCCATACCACAGCCGCAAACCACTGCTGATGGTCAACGATTTTCACACACCGCCCAGGCAGCCAAAGCAGGACAGATCATCAGTATGGCAACAACTGAGCAGGTGATCTCCTACGTTTTGCCAAGCTTGATGGGGAAAACCAGCAGCCCAGAAAAGTGGCCCGCTTTGTTACGAGTTACAAACTTTTACGACGTGATTCAATGTGCTTCACTGTGCTTCTTGAAGTCTGCGAAAACCAACCAATTCGTATCTGAGGAATCAGCAATCAACGTATTCCAAAAGTGAAAGGGCAGTGCTTTGCCAGCTGTGGGAAACACACCCGACCGGAAATCACCCAACCTGTGTCTGTGCCGGCGCCGGGGTGAGCCAGGGGTCACACGGCGCCTCCGCCTGCGCTCCGCAGCCGCCCTCTCCCCCCGTCGAGCAGGTGTTTTGCCATGCCTGCGCACGCGTATAAAACCACCCTCGCCTGCACACAACCCGGGGTCGTCATTGAGAGTGGGATGGCTGGACGGTCGCCTGTCTGGGGGGTGATCACTTGGAGAAGGACCTTGCGGCCGACAAACAGCATTGATTACAATTCCCCGTAGAGCCACCACCCCGCGCGGCCCCGCCCCTTACCACCCCAAGTCCTCGTTCACTCCCAATTACCGCTCCGGTGGACTGCACTCACGCATTCAAGGATGAACTTGCAGATTGTGCAACCGGTCTCCAGTTTCACGTGCACTGGTTGGAGGCACAACCCTTTCTATGACTGATATTCATGGTGAACCGACACAGCAACAACAGTCCCCCCCAGCCCCGCGCAACCTCCACCAGTCAGGTTCTTCAACGCCTCACATGTCCGCGCCCATGTTCGTCAAAGCCGGCGAACGGAGCCAAGGTACCGCAGCTTCACAGTGCGGGAATCGCAGTGCATCGGCCACCAATCGATCGGCAAATTTTGGAGGCCTCGGTCCCCGGAGGGCAGACCCCCGCTCCCGGCCAGCACACCCACCTATGCGACGCCTCCTCCCGCAATGCCCGCGCTTCAGTCCACCCGGTCGGGAACCCCCTACACTGAGAGGCCAGCCCAGGCACCATCTGCGTACTGTCCTGACGGTAGGAAGCCAAAACCTGCCGAGGTCCCGTACCAGCGCCAGCACCCGCCTCCGCACCTTTGTCGCCATACCGCCGGGCCCGCCGGGCCCTCCAAGCCATCCCCCTTGCGATCTCGCGTCGCCCCTGGGCCTGGTCACAGACGTCAGCGAAGTTGGGCAGAGAAGTTCGAAAAAGGGCGTCTGCCCGGCGTCCCCAGAGCAACAGCATTCTCAAAATTGTGGCCCCATCGCTGGGGCAAGGCATTCAATCGATAAGCCATTGTTCCCAGAAAGGGTCATGGAATCGACAGTCGAGCGGCCTGGTCATGACCACGGGCCGTCCGGAACGGAGAGCGCCAGCGCCGACCGGCACTTGGCACAGCTTTGAGCCACCCAAAGGTCAGAGAGCTGTGAGTGGGCACCTGGTGGGCGCGTCGGAGGAGCAAGTCGGTGCTGAGGCAACGGCGGGCGGGGGGTTTGACCTGCAAGTTGTTTCGTCCGCACCGACGGGGGGGGCTGTCATTTGGAAGGGCGCCGCAGCGAGGTTCGCTGCGCCGGTCCCTCCACTGGACGGATTGGCAGCGGCCTGCGCCCAAAAGAGTGGAGAAGGGGTGATTGACGGGGCCACAACGTTCCAATGTCCTTCCACCAGTTTCCTTCCTATTTTTCTTGTCCTCATCAGCGCTTCGCGTCCCAACTGTCGAAGATGCGCCCTGGGAAAAGGCCAGGACTGCCATGGGTGGACTGGCATGGGTGAGTGGCAAAAGCAGGAATATTTGATAAGCAATTGTGCAGTTATGCTTTAGCCCGATATGGCAGCTGTTGTGAAGCCAGGAGGACTTCAGGAGGGTTAGTTCGCCATGCTGAAGCGCGTCGTTCTCGCTTTCCTAATTTTCCGTACCTTTATAGCAGCAACACTACTGGAGGTCATTGAAAACATCAGCTCATAGGTCCTGATACCGTGCACCTGAGTTGGCATCATTTAGGGCAAGGCAAGGCACCAGAACGTATGCCGTGCTTTTTGCTGCATTTTACAAGAAGATGCATGTGAGCTTGTGGAGTGTACAGCAATTGTTCCGTTTTGGCGATTATACCATTAAAATCGCGGCTGTGTATGGATGAGCTGGCATAATTTCAACAGAAGAGTTTGCATTTGCTTAATACGCTGGCTGCTCCTGCGCTCACTTATCTGTTGAACGCTGCCACGTCATTTGCCTAATGGGCGATGCCAATGCCCCCGCCGCTAGCACAGCTGTTTCTTGTGTTCGTCTTTCCCTTCACCATGACAAATTTCTACAGCAGCAGGACACCATTCTGACAATGGCAATGTTAGTAATGCGACAAGTGGTGCAACGAGCACCAATTGAAATCAGCATTTTTGATATGCCAACTGCGATGCCATTTGACGCAATTTGATGCCATCCCAGCGCCTTTTTCGCCATCGCAGTCAATGTTACGGCATCAATTTATGTCAAAATGGCATCGCAGTTGGCATCGTAAACATGACGTTTTCTACCAGTGGAGGGGGCGACAACACATTACAGAAATCAATAAAATACAAGAAAATTGCTCCAGATATCCTCCAGTGAAGAATCTCGGCATTCGCCCATGTGGTCGCTTGCCGATACAGACAACCCCAACCACCAGATGTAATGGCCGATTGGCCCTTCCAAACACAATACCACTTCGCCAGCAATGATCAGGGCACACGTCATCCATAGTGCACATCTCAGTCACATCCACTGTCAGATATTGTCCACTGCTGATCATGACGTTCAATGCCGGATTGCAGCAGACAATTTTCCCAACACCATCGCCAACTACAGTTGCCATGACGGGTGACACACGCGCTACCAACCTCGCGTTTCCAAAAAAGAATGCCACAAAATGCCAATCTCTTTACACCAAGTCTCTGCTCCAGGGGGCCCCCTGTTTGAGCAGAACTGAAAAAAAGTTCTGTGATACTAAAAAAATCACCCAAATGTTGTATTGGCAACACAATATGCCCCTGCTGGCACAATCCCATGTGTACTGTACCATTGCAGTGCATTTTATGCATTCTTTATCAATACTTCCCCAACAGCTCGATATGAACATTTCATGCTGCTCCCCAAAACTCCTATTTTCTGTTGTTCACATGCTGCCCGCCCTCTCAACAGTAATGACCAGCATCGCCAGAAAAATTCCAGCAGCTGCCAATGCAGGAGGTGTCCCTGGGGCTAGGAATCCGCATCACGATGTGATCGACGCTGCTAATACTGCACATGCCATCGTTGCCATCGCCACCGACAGTTGCGGCGAGTTTTGAACGCTTGATGATGATTGCCAAACATGCCCTTGCACACTGCCAATGCATCAAAAGGCAGTTTGGGCAATGCAAGCTTGGTCCTGAGCCCTGAGCTAATTCTAGAGAGCCGTCAGAGGCACAAAGGGGAGGCATGTACCCATAGGAGAACATGTGTGTTGCGTGAACAGTTTGGCTTGTTTTCGCTTGCTTGCCATGCCTCCTGATGTTTGCATCTCTTTTGTTGGCAACCTGACTTCTGAATAAATAAATAAATTGGCTGATGTGCGCAGTCTGTTCTATTAAAATTGCTGTTTCCTGTGATTGTGAGAGAACTATGCAGTGCACGTCCAATGTTGGAATTATGGTTTCCCTCTACCTGTCCCACAAGCACAAAAGTATTTCCGTACTAAAAAAGGGATGCAGAGCATTGGGAAATCACCACATACAGTGCATGGAGAATGAATGCGCAGGATCGGCCCACACATCTGACACAGACAAGACTTACAGACTGTGCAACATAGCTGCTTCAATAGGGGTCAAAATGTGTCTTAAAATCACTCACAACATCGCGGGCTGGAATACAGTGGGGTGGGGTGGCGTGGTGGCCAACAGACAGAGGCTGAGAGATTTGTGCCCCTCAGACCGTTGCTGTCAACGTGGTGCCTACCAGGCGCTTTTCAGCGATTTTCAGCATAAGAGGAAGAGTCAAGCTGCTCATTCGCATAGGAACTGCAGCTCACAGGCGTTATGTGTTGACAGCTGCCCACTCCTTGGCGAGGCGGAATCGAATCCTCTGGTGGCTTATGGAGAAGCGGTGGCTAACACCACTAGTGTACAAGCTCGGGGGAATGTGAGAGCGGTTGAGGTGGGACGGAGTTGGGATGGTTAGGGCGGGAACAACCCAAGATGCTCGGATGCATTGCATATGTGTTGCACGTCCTGCAAGTCCTTGGTATGATGAGTTTGCCCGTATACCTTCACTCCCTTGGCACCATGCTCGGTCTTAAGAATCCCAGAATATGAGCATACTATGTCTGACGCAGGGTACTGCGAAAGAAACTGAGGTACATCCCAAGAAAGGCTTCCTTCTGTGCCAGACCACCTGGTGACAAGATGAGAAAGTGTTTGATTGTGCTTGAGTGATTGGCAAAAAGGCCAACTCAAGCTTGTTACTTGCGCTTATAGACACCACTTGTGCGTTCATGCTTTTTGCGTAAAACCATATAAGCAGAGAAAAGGCCATCTTTGCGCTTTTTCACCGTGCATCACCACTTTCTCTCTGGGGGACCGGCAGCGCAACATCCGCATCTCCATTTCCCACGCCTTGTCCACTTTCTTCTTTCCCCCGACTTTCATCAGATTCCCTATATATCCTGACGAGGTGCACGGCACCACCCACTGGCCTCTGGTCTTTGGCGCCAAAATGCATCCATTTATGGCCGCCTATGTGCACACGCACCTTTTCCCTGTGGCAAACAGGTGGATCGTCGTGGTGCCGTCCTGGCGGTCGCCTTCTTCTCACGCGTCGCCTGAACGGGCACACACTCCTCCTCGACCAGAGGGGGGCCCACGCCACTGCAGACTGTCACATCGCCGATGCCGCTGATGCCAGCGAGGTGACAGCATCAGCGCCCCTCACTGCAGCTCACGATTAGGTCACCGTATCAGCAGGTGACCTGCATAGGTTTGACATCGGAAAAGTTCTTGGTGGTTGGCCGAAATACTCCCCTGGCCGGCATAGTGATCAAAGACGATAGTTATGCACTGATTGAGCAGGTGACCCAGGCTACATGCACGCGACGCGCACCTGCCCATTTTTAGGCATTTTGACACCTTTTGGAGCAATTTTAGGCGTGCTTATGTAAAATATATTCTTACGCACAAATGCGCATAAGTACGCATGTTGTTGCGCTGTAAACAACAAGCCTGGGACATCTGCTTCCTAGTACAAGATACGCAGGGAAGAAAGCGACAGTTTGGACGGAGCACCCTCAGAATCAGCACACCTGACTGGAATTCTACGGATATCAAAGCAGCCTTCGCTGACGGCGTTCCAATTGGCATATTTGACACAGCGCCAGATTTGGAATGTCCTGGGTCAAGGGGATTGGCGGACTTCAGACCTGCGATTCACATCCGACGATGTGCATGGAGCCTTAGGATCCACACACAGTGCAGCAACACACATAGCATGAGCAATGCATCGCTAAAGTCACTCTTTCAGCCCTTGTGAGGTTCAACTTGTCTGCCCAGTATGTACAACAGCACTGCACGGTCCAATCAGCGTTGTTTCTTGTGGTGCATCTTCTGTCCATTTGGCACAGTGCGTGTGCCTGTGCTATGAGGTACGTGCCGCGAAGCGGCACTTGCATACCCGGTGGAATGGAAACTGCTAGGACGGTATCGGCGGCGCCCTGCCTGAGCTGTCACGGCCTGTCACTAGTAAAAAACAGGCCAGATGACACAGTCATGACACGGTCTGTCAAAATGCAACTGTGTACTTCGGAAAGTGTGGTCCCAAAGTGCACAGTTAATACACGCATTGACACAGTTTTGACCGTGCATCCTAGGAAACTGTGTAGTCTACACAGTTGTTTGAGGGTACGCGTTTGAAACTGCGTCAATGTGTGTACCAACTGTGTACGTTTGGGAACACATTTGCCGAAAGTACACAGTTGAATTTTGAGCAGACCGTGTCAGGACTGTGTCATCAGGCCTATTTTTTCCTAATGTGTGGGCTTGCTGTTTCCACCGCTTGCGTCGCCACCGGAGCTCAACCTGCATCCCAACGACCTGGTGTACGTTCCCCAAAAGGATGTCAGCGAGACTGATTGACTTGAAGTGGTGCAATTGATGGTCGTGGACAACTATCGCTGCCTGTGGCTGAATGGGTGGTCGGATGGATCTTTTGTGCGGACGCAAGAGTGGCCGGCATAGAGACTGGTGTGTCGTGTGTCTATGGAGAAAGAGTTAAATATACAAAATTTGACTCGTGCCTGCACTGTGATGTGGTAATTAAATAATTCAACAAATTGTGTTTTGTGCCAGAATAAGACCTAAATATGATGCAAACTTCCGTGTGTTGAGGTCCGTTTTGGGCCAGTTCTAGGATTCTTCGTAATATATTGGCTGACGCCGCCTCAGAAGCCACATTCGGATGCTGCCCTTCTTAACAGTGTCGCTTGAGCCCGATCCTTTTATAATAGATGAATGATATTACGAGATACATACACGTG